CGTGACCCGGAGAGTGCACAGGGCCCTGGATGAGGGGAGTCAGGGGAACATGTTCTGGGGGGGCTGCTGCCCCACAGAGGCAGCCTCACCTTCCTCACTGTAGATGGGCGCTGTGAGCAGGTAACTCTGAATCTTCTTGTCCTTTTCAAAGGGACATTCTACCTGTGTCCATGTCATGAACTCGTGGATCTGTCTGGAGATCTCCCAAAATTTCTGAAGGGGTAAACGATGTTCACTTGTCACCTTGAGCTAGAAATCTTGGTCGGGTCAGTTTGCTGCTCACCTCCCTGGTCCCAGCAAGAGGAGATGGTGGCCATGGAAATGCTGTGCATCATCTGAGCCAGCAGGTGACCCAGAGGACACACTGTCCTGCCCTCTACCTGGGCCATCAGGCTGGCAGCAGGATCCGTGCCTCCCCTGTTCGGGGACCCCAACAGGGCCCCATCTTGGACCCTGAGCTGAGGGAAGCGTCCCAGCCACGGCCAGCACAGCACCAGCAACCTGACCGTGTTACAATCTCACTCTCTGAGGTCTGTGTGGGAATCCATAACCCCCCCCACTCCCTACCTGTGTGAGGTGAGCCCTGGACAACCCAGCTCCCCCAGTCCTCCCCCAGCACCTTTGTCCCATCTTCCTGCCCTTGGCCAGACAGGTCTTCGCTCCATCTGGAATTCCGCTGCCTCTCCTCCCTGCCCGAATCCCTCTTGCCTGAAGCCTCCTGATTCCCAAACCCCCAGGGGTGGCCCCTTCTCCATCTCCCTGGTGGGGTCAGTGCTGGGACCAGTGTCCTGGGTATTGAATGGAGGTTCCCTGTGGCACGAAGCCCTGTAACCAGATCGTCCACCCAGAAGGGTGGGGCTGACTTCACACCTCAAGGTCAAACAGTGTGACCTGCCTGGGAACTGTCAGTCCTAAAAGCCCTTCCGACACAGGGCCAGGGCCTTGCCCAGGCGGCACAGGCGGACCCCGCCTGCCCAGGCGCGAGGCCCGAGGTCTGCCCTGCCCTGTACTGGCACAGCCCGGCCCCCTCCTTTGGACCACAGTGGGTCTGGGCTCACCTTGAAGTTAACGTGCCCATTGGGCAGGTGGTTGGTGTGGATCTTGTGCAGGAAATAGATGTCCTTAACGAAAAGGTTGAACACGGGAATCACAATCTTCTCTCGGCTGCTGTTGGCTGTCTGGGACCTCTGCGTGGCCCCCTGCAGGGCTGTGCGGTAGTTGCAGAAGTTGCTGGATGGGTCCATGTGGTGCTGTGGGAGGGTGCACATGGTAGGCGCGCTCCTTCTGCGCCTTCACAGAGCAGTCAGCTGACGGGCAGGCCCTTCCCCTCTGGGCAACTTGGACTGTCACCCAGAAAAGGCCTTCCTTCCAGGAGGGGAGCCCAGGGGAGCCCAGCTGAGCACTTCAAGTGAACTCACCTGTCAGCCCCCAGCCACCCAGGTGGACCAGTGCCAGGGAACGCTGGCCAGGAAAAGGCCCATCTCCACTTAGCATCAACCAACGCAGGACTCATGGGCCCATTCTTGTCAATTTTTTTACCAACTACTCCCCAGAACTCACTTTAGGTCAGATCTGACTGAAGTCAGGGCCGAGGACAGCGCAAGCGACCGGGTCCCCAGCATGGCCAGGTCAGGCAGGCTGGACAGCCCAACACCAGCCGGCACTGTGGGAGCAGGCCCTGAGCCAGGGGGCGAGTGCGAGGGGAGGCCCACCCTCCTCAGGCCCACACCGGGTGGGGATGGGCGCCTACCTCCAGGACATCGAACTTGGCCGTCTTCACTTTGGACCATGTCTTCTTCAGCCGAGCCACAGGGCTGAGGTTCATGCCAGCTGCAGGGGACAGCAGGGAGGGTCAGGGCGGGGACGGGGGACGGGAAGCCGGGGGGAGCCCAGGCCCAGGCACTCACAGATGATGGCCATCATGGAGTTGAAGTTGCCGATGTTGAAGCACTCCCGGGCCACGTCGATGAAGAACTCCAGCACGCGGGTCCGTTGCTTCTTCTTTACCACCTGGAGGGCAGCCCGGCCTCAGCCCAGCCCGCGGGCACCTCCCCGCCACCCCCAAGGGCACCTGGGTGGAGCTGCGCCAGGGCCCACAGAGCTGTCAGACGGGGGTGGGGGGATGCTGGTGGGCTGCAGAGGCAGGAAACACCACTGTGGGCAGAGGGCAGGAGGATGGGCAGAGGACTGAGGACCCTGAGTAAGCTCACAGACTGTGCTGGGCACAGGGTGCACTCCATGGATGGGTCTTGGTCATAATTTAAGGCGTCACTGTTGGGCATGGTGGGGTGGCAATGGAGGCTTCCTATCTCCACTTTCAAAGTTGCACCATCTGAGGGGCAGGGGCATCTGAGGGTGTCTCGGGCAGCACTGCAGGGCTGGGGAGGGGACCGTCACCCTGCCTGTGCCGCTATGCAGTGCTCACCCGGCACACCTCGGTGGCCACCAGCATGCTGAGGCAGTTGAACCAGTTGTCATAGGCCTCCAGGCTGTAGGTCTTGGTCGGGTCCCCTCGGCACTGGGAAGGACACAGCAGGTCACAGGAAGCCAAGGACGCTGTGGCGGGTGCTGCCCAGCCCTGCCCCAAAATGGAGGGGCAGGGACCTTGTCCAGAGGAGGAAACTGAAAGCGATGCTGAGTCTCCACGATACCCAAGGCTAGCCTTGGACGCCAGACTGGCTGCCCGAGCCCCTGGGAATACTGAGCCCCCTCCCAACATGCATCACCCTGTGTGGCCATCTGCTGACCCCCTGGAGCAGGTGCTAGGAGGCCAGACCCAGATCCATGGGGTCATGGGGTCAGACACTCCAGAGGGGCCAGGCGTGTTGGGTGGGGTCTCTACCCACCCTGCATGGGATGTAGGTGTCAGGCCCACCCACAGGCCACAGCCCCTCACCCTGTGCTTGTCCCGAGAGTCCATGTGGCTGATGATCTGCATCAGGTCCTGGGGGTGGATGCTGCTGACCCTCTCCT